GTCCGGTTCCGGTTCCGGTTCCGGTTCCGGATCACCCCCCCCCCCTCCTCAGGCAGCGCGCGCTGCTCTGGTTCCGGTTCCGGTTCCGGTTCCGGTTCCGGTTCCGGATCAACCCTATCCCTCCCACCTGGGGTTCTTACTGGGTCCGCAGGCGTCGTCGTCGTCGTCGTCGTCGTCGTCGTCGTCGTCGTCGTCGTCGTCCGTCGTCGTCGCTCGTAGTTCGTCGCTCGTCGCTCATCGTCGTCGTGCGCGCGGACGCTGCTGGAGCCTGTTTTTAAGTCCGGGCCGATGACGGCAATCATCTGGGGGGGAGGGGGTCGATGACGTCACGTTTCGCGCCGGCGGCGTCTGGGAATGCTTAGGAATGACGGAGGACGGGTAGCACGAACATGTCGGTGGCGATATGCACCACAACGCCTGTGTACATCACAGTGCCCGCGTGCACCGCAGCGCCTGTGTACACCACGCCGCCGATGTACACCACAGCAGCCGCGTGCAACACAGCGTCGGTTTGTGCCACCGTGCCTGCGGGCACAGCAGCTCCTGTGTACACCACAGCGCCTCCGTACACCACATCAGCCGTGCGCAACACAGCACCAGTGTACACCACAATGCCTGCGTGCATTGCATGCCTGTGTACGCCACGGCGCCTGTGTGCACCACATCAGCCGTGTGCAACACAGCACCATTGTTGTGTATAGAATTTCAGAAGGGATCCTTGTGACAACATGGAGCGCGTGTGGATTCCAGAGAAAACAATGGAAAGCAAATCCTCATGGCCGAAGGAGCGCCGCTGGAATCTACGAGTCCCCCCGAGTCCGCCCGCATCACCCAAACTCCCATTTGCGTCGAGGAGGCTCCAGCTAAACTGGCCGTCCGAGAACCAAGTGGACCGATTCAATCGACCATTTTGCGATGCACGCTGAGATGCGCACGTGCGTTGCAACGCCAAACCGCACGACAGGGGGCAAGAAGGAGGAAAAGGAGGAGGAGGAGGAGGAGGAAGAGGACGGGGAGGAGGAGGAGGAGGAGGAGGAGGAGGAGGAGGAAGAAGAGGAGGAGGAGGATGAGGAGGTGGAGGAGGATGTGGAGGAGGAGGGAGGAGGGAAAAACGTCGCATTCGATTCTCAGAACTTTCCTGGCGTGGCGTTTAGTTGTCCGCAGCAGATCCTGACGTACATGCTCCTTCTACCTGTCCTATGCACGCAGGCACTGTGGTGTACAGCGCTCCGTTGCACGCGCTGTGGCGTGCACAGGCGCTGTGGTGCACGCAAGCTCAGTGGTGTACACAGGCGTTGTGTTGCACATGGCTGCTGCGGTGTGTGCACACCAGCGCTGTAGTGCTCCCAAGTATTGTGGTATACGCGGGCGGTGCGTTGCACACGGCTGTTTGCGGTGTACGCAGGCGCTGTGGTGCACACGCGCGGTGTGGTGCACGCGAGCGTTGTGGTGTACACTGTACACAGGCGCAATGGGCAGATCGCCACTTACATGCTGCTCGCGTCGTCGTCGTCGCTCGTCGTTCGTCGCTCGTCGCGTCGTGCGCGCGGGCGCGGCTGTGGTGCTGGAGCCACACGGCGGGGGGGGCGTCACGTCATACCCCCCCCCCGCCCTCCCCCCCTCCCATGACGCCCGTCATCGCCGAACATAAAGAAACGCGCTCCAAGCTCCGAGCCTCGTCAGCTGGCAGAATGCGCTCCTCCTCGGCCCTCCTCCTGGCTCGAGCCGGGGCAGCCGAGCGGGCAGCGGGCGCGGACGGGCCTCCCACCGGGCGCAGCCCACGGGCCCCCCCCGCCGGGAGCCGGCGACGGGCGGCCGCGGGGCGGGTCCGGCGCAGGGATGATGATGGCCCCGCCGAGCGGCTTCGGGCTGCCACCCAGCGGAGCGCGTGGGGGAGGATGGAATGGCGGCGAAATCCGAAGCCTGCCTTCGCCTCATGGGCGATTTGAGGCAGCTCGATGGGCGGCGGGGCAGGGTTCGGAACTCGCCGAGCACGTGGCAGCGTCCGAGCCCAATCCCCGCCTGTCATCGATTCAGGAGAATGAAGAATCGATGGTTGGTGGGGGTAGGGTTCGGATGTCGCCATCCAGACTGAAATCGGGCATGTCCCTCTACAGGAGGATTGTTCAAAAACAGGGAAAGATCATATGGGGGCCATTTTTTATGTTTCTTCGAAATCCGCCTGCAGGAGGACATGCCCGACCTAAATCTAGAGGAGGAATGTGGTCAGAGGTGGAACAGTTACCGATGCCGGCGACAGCGGCGACGAGCGCTGCTCGTCCTGGAGAGGGCCCACGCCGCTACCGCTGGACTCTCCTTGGGAAATTTTGGCCGGAACGCACCCAGGGAGAGGTCCAGAGCGCCGACCAGGTCAGGAAGACAATTATCGGGTCGGGAGGGCGGGCTCGGGAGAAATGAGGATATCTCCTTACCCGTAGGCCCTAGGCGGCCGAAAGTATCGCTCATTGCATCCGGATGCTACTGTTCATACCCTGGAGGAGGAGGAGGAGGAGGAGGAGGAGGAGGAGGAGGAGGAGGAGGAGGAGGAGAAGATGATGGAGCTGTGGGGTGGAGGAGGACAGACGGAGGCAAGAGAAGGATGGAGGAGGAGGAGGAGGAGGAGGAGGAGGCGGAGGAGGAGGAGGAGGAACCTCATCCTCACCCTCGCCAACAGGCGCACGCACCTTCTTCTATATACAGAAACTCCCGATCAACCGCAGAGCGGCCGGCTAGTACCCTTCATCCTCCCAGCCCCTCCTACCAGCACGATCACTGCTCTCCTCGCAAGGAGCGTACGGATTTGCCAGCAGCGGCCAATCGCCGATGAGTTGGCGGTGCATCGCCGATTGCAGGTCGATGTCCCTCCCCCCTGAGTTTCGGAGGTGGACAGAACCCCCAACAGTGACACGTCGATTAGTGACTTGTCCGTTTTCGGTTCTCGAGAGGGCGCCGCGGCCGTTATTTTGCAGGCTTGCGCCCGCCAGGTTTGGGCCTCAGGTCGTTTTCACTAAACCACGTTTTACTAAAGGGAGGTCTGTCCATCCCCGAGAGTTGGTCCCCCCCGAGCGTCGCCCCTCAGGGCAGGAGGGCGCTGGGGGGAGGGGAGCGAAGGACCCTGTTTACCAGCCTCGAGCGTATCCCTATCCCCAAGATTGGCACGCCAGAAGGCGATGACAAGCTCAGGGGTCCGCCCTCAACAGATAAGGGAGTCCCTAAGATTGGCATCGTGATGAGGAGATGCCCAGCATAGGGATAGGGATATGCTCCAGGCTGGTAGCCTGTGACCCCCCGTCGCGCCCCTGCCGCAGCAAAGATCACCACGGGAGGGTCTTTGGCCGTGCTCGGCCCTCCGGTGGGGCCCCTGGTGCCCGGGCCCCGAGGCCTTTAAGGCAGGGCACGACCCGGGACGGAGGGCCGCCGGTCCCTCTCGGGGGCGGCAAAGAGGGGGGTGATGACTAGGGGGGGGTGGATATCATGGCGGGGGCCATGATATTTCCCTAGATTTCATGGCGCCTCTCCTTGTTTCATTACGTCCCTGGCCCCCCCGCTGGGCCGCGCACGTGCCGCCGGTCATGATTGGCCCCCCCCCCTCTTGGACACCCCCCTCTTGGCCGCTCCCGACCCTCGGAGGAGGTTCACAGACCTCCGTTTCGGGGGTGGATAGAACCCCCAACAGTGACACGTCGATTAGTGAATTGTCCGTTTTCGGTTCTCGAGAGGTTGACCTCCGCCCTCCCTCCTCCGTGAGCTCCCTCTGCTGCCAGGGACCTCTGCCCCCTCCCTCCTCCGTGAACTCTGTATGCCGCTCGCACTGCTCGCAGGCCTAGAGGTTGACATCCACACCGATTTCGGCGGTGTGCCTCCACCGAGGGGAGAAGATCTCGGGGGTGGACAGAACCCCCAACAGTGACACGTCGATTAGTGAATTGTCCGTTTTCGGTTCTCGAGATGGTGCCGTGGCCGTTATTTTTCAGGCTTGCGCCCGCCAGGTTTGGGCCTCAGGTCGTTTTCACTAAACCACGTTTTACTAAAGGGGGGTCTGTCCATCCCCGACAAAAGTGCATCCGGTCAGGGACGTTTGCTTGGCGGGCTCCGCCGCCTCTTCTGGCCCACAAAGATTCATTGGCTGACGTCGCACCGCCGACCCCTTGGGGCGGTAGTGAGAGTGAAAACGGAGTTTGCGGAGCGCGCGCGATTTCTGGGGAATCTTTGGGTTTCAGCTTCTTGGGATTTCGTCGGGGGCAGTTGGCGGATCGCGGCTCCGCTCTTGGGCTTCTCTGGGCTCTCATGGCAGCACTTTTGAGGCCTCTTCGGGGCCGTGTTGAGGCCTCTAGGGGCCTCTTTTGGCCTCTCGCGGGCCTCGCGGGTGCCTCTTGGGAGCCTCTTGGCGCCTCCTCAGGTTTTTTCGGGGCCGAGTGCTCGAAATGTCAATTCGGGTTCCCCCTCCCGGCCTCCTCTTGGGGCCGTCCTACGGCACTCCTGGGCCGTTTTGGAGGCTTCTGGGGCCTTCTTGGGGCCCCCTTGGGCCGTCTTGGAGCCCTGTTGGGGGCCTCTTTGGTTATCTTGGGTCGATCTTCAAGACTTCTTGGACCGTTTTGGGCCTCGTGAAGGCCCAAGAGGCGAATGTGCTAAAAATCTACGTTTTCCCTATGGAATGGGCAGATTTTTGCTTCTGGAGGGCCTCTTGGGGCGCCTCTTGGTGGCCTCTTGGGGCGTCTTGGGGGCCTCTGGGACCGTCTGGAGGCAATCCTGGGCGTCTTGGAGCGATCTTTGGCGACTCGTAGCCTTCTTGGACCGTCCGGGGCCCTCTCGGCCCGTTTTGGGGCCCCCTGAGGCTCCAAGGGTGCGGCTGGCACTTTTCCCCCCCCGCCCTCCCCCACCCCTCCAGGCCGGCGGGACTGGGCTTCTGGGGTAGGGCTTTGGGGCGGGGGGAGCATATCTCACACGCCATGACCCCGAGGGGTCGGCGGCCTCGGCGCGAGCCCCCGAGGACGTCCTGAGTCCCCGGCGACGACGCCCCGGGCTTTCCTCCGCTTCCCGCCCCGCGGAGCGGAGGCGCACGCTGTCGGCTGGCAGGCCTTCCCTGACGGCCCCGGAGCGTCCCGAAGCGGCCCCCCCCCCTTCGGGGGAGGAGGAGGAGGAGGGGGAGGAGGAGGGGGAGGAGGAGGAGGAGGAGGAGTGGAGAGGAGGAGTGGAAGGAGGAGGAGGAGGAGAGGAGGAGGAGGAGGAGGAGGAGGAGGAGGAGGGAGGGGAGGGGAGGGGGAGGGGGGAGGGGGAGGGGGAGGGGGGGAGGGGGCGGGGGGGAGGGGGGAGGGGGGAGGGGGGAGGGGGGGAGGGGGGGAGGGGGGTGAGGGGTGAGGAAGGAGGAGGGGAGAGGCGGAGGCGGAGGCGGAGGCGGAGGAGGAGGAGGAGGAGGAGGAGGAGGAGGAGGAGGAGGAGGAACAGGAGGAGGGGCTCTGCGAAGCGCCGCCGGCGCGGTCTCTTCCTGGGTCGGACGAGACGGGGGGATTGGCCACATGGCTGCCGCGTGCACGCCGCAGAGCGCTCTTCCTCCACGCCGCCCGGCGATCTTTCTCCCGCTGCACGGGCGCCTCCGAAGCGGGGAGCCGACGGGGAAACCAGCTGGGTGAGCTGATGCGCCAGCCCCCCTCTACCGTTCACTCGAGCATGTCCCTCTACAGGAGGAATATTCAAAACTAGTCAACAAATCGTGCGAGACTATGCTTTCACTATTTTTGGCTATTTTTGCCTCTTTTTGACTCTTTTTTGTTTTTCGTCCAAAATCCGCCTGTAGCAGGACATGCCCGACCGAACTCTACCTCTGCGAACCGCCCTTCCCAGACCCCCGGCGTCGCGCTGTTTCCGCAGCGTTCTGCCAGGTCGCTGTTTTGACAACGTGGGCCCCCCCCCGGTGCCCGACAGTGACAGAAGGCCTGCCGCCGTGCTTCTTTCACCATGCACTCGACGCCGGGGGCCTGGATTCCGCCCGACGCGACCTCCCGAGGTCGCCAGGAGCTTTGTGGGCCCCGGGAACGGCAGGGCCGTTTTTTCACCGTTTCCGAAAAGATGTCCCTTGAAAATGGAAACGGCAAAAAAAGGCGACCGGAAACGGCAAAAACACGGCTCCATGGGATTGGAACCGAAGCCGGAACCGGTCAAAAAACGGCGACGGAACCGGTAACAAAAACGGCGTCGGAACCGGCAACAAAAACGGCAAAACGGAACCGGTTAAAAAACGGCCCTGTCGTTTCCAGGGCCCACCAAGGCCAGGAGGGACCTGGGCCGCCCCGCCCCCGCCAGCGGCGCCTCCCTGGCCCCCAACATGCAGGCCCGTGTCCGCAGCCGCGCGGGCCGGGCTCCCGAGGGCCGCGGTCCCTCGCCGTACGGGCGGGGCGCCTCGCCCGGGGCTGCCCCGCGCGCGGAGCGCACACCCGGCGAGCGCGTGCCCACGGGAGCGCTGCCCGGAGTCCAGGCCGCGAGGGCGCGGATGCGGCCACAGTGGAGGCCAGTCCACAGGAGGCCTCCCACGAGAAGCCCAAAACCTGAGGCCCCAGGGCGTCTCTGGCGTGGGAACGTCACGCCTTCCATCGCAAGGCCCATCCCAACCCAAGAAACCCAGGGCACCCTGGAGGCAGGCAGGGTGTTCCTTGGCATCGGCCCCGTTGCACGCTGCCGCTCGGGGCCCGCCAGCAGCGCCCCCGCAGGAGCCGGCCCGCAGATGCCGCTGTTCGCGGCCCCGCCCGACCTGGTGGCAGCGCCGCCGGGCACCGCGCCGCTGTGGCCGCCGGCGTCCACGGCGGGCTTCGCGGACGCCGCGGGGGCCCAACCCAACGACGCAGACGGCGACGGCGGCGTCGGCGACGCCGGCGGCGACGGCGACGACGGAGACGGCGACGACGCCGCCGCCGGCGACGACGACGCCGACGGCCAGAGCTTTCTGTCAGCGTGTCGCGCCGCTTGTTCTGGCCCACCACGCGTCGGCGCGACGCGCCAAACGCGTCCCGGTCTCTGGGCGTCCATGCCCTGAGCCTCGCCCAGCACGCTGCCAGCTCGCAGGGCATAATTAGCGTGACGCCGGGGCGGATGCCGCGGCGCGCTGAGCAAGAACTCCCAATCGTAAGCTTTCGGAGGTTCGCGCGGAGTTCTTGTGTCGGTGCTGGAGCCCCTCCCTGGTGCGCACCAGGGGCGGCGCCGGATGAGCCGCCAGTGGGGTCCAGCGCAGGTCCAAGAACTCCGCGCGGGCCTCCGAAAGTTTATGCTTACTCAGCTCTTTGGTTCCTCCAGCCCGCTCTGCTTCAGGCCCAGTCGAGCTTCCGACTTTTGGCCCCCCGCGGCATAGACAGAGGGCATCTACACAGTGCACCGGCCCAGGGCCTGGGATGGGCCTGGATGACCAGGGCTGGTGGCGGTTCGCGCTTCTCGGAGGCCTCCCGAGGCTTCTAAATTTAAGTCGGGCGTGTCCCGCTTCGGAGGAATGTTCAAAAATGGTTCAAAAAATAATATGGGGACGATTTTTGTACTATTTTTGATCATTTTCTCCCAGAGCCCGCCTGTAGGGGGACATACCCGACCTACTTCTAAAGCGTCCCATAGCTGCTATACCCTGCGATCCTCGGTCCCGAGCCTTCTCTCCTCTCTCTTGCAGTTTCCGGGCGGACGGCAGCCGGGGGGCAGTAAAGACCCCTTGGCCGCTGAAAGCAGGTATTTTTGGAGCCCCACGTTCCATTCTGCGTGAGGCGCCTTCCTGCTTAAATCGTCGAGCGGTTTTCCCTTCCTCCTCTGCAGGGGGCGGGCGGACACCCAAAATCTGCTTTCAGCGCCTTCCTGCCTCCCTGCTTCCTCTTTCTGCGCGCAAGTTCTGGCCGATGGGCCAGCGGGGTTGAAGCCAGGCGCGCACCTTTCAGGCACAGCTTAGGGTCGCAGCGGCATCTCTCGGGGCCCCCTCCAGGCCACTCTTCCCCCGGGTTCCTTCCGCCGTCCCCCGCCCCGCCCCCCCTCCCCTGTTTCGCGTCCACACGAGCTTCCCTAGGCGGCGCGCAGAGGGGGGTAGGGGGGAGGGGGGAAGGCTTCTTAGAAGCACCCCTGCTCCTTACAAGGCGCGGGCCATGTCTGTAAATGTGAGGCCCGCGGCTTCTAGGAAGCCTCCCCCCCTCCCCCTGCCCCCCTCTGCGCGCCGTCACTTCCCGCTCCCGAGGACGTGGCCTCCCAGGTGCTGGCGGAGCAGGCCGCGGCCGTCCTGTCCTCGGGGTCGCCCGTCCAGCAGGAGGTGCTCCGGCGAGGAGAGAGATCTTCCAACGAAGGCGTCTGCACCACCACCACCACCACCACCGTGTCAGGTCGGCCAGCCTGGGCCGCAGGATTGTGTGCAGACCCTCCTGGCCTCGGCCATGATGGTGTACGCACCGTGCCAGGGCCAGGACGGCCCTGGCCTGGCACGGTGGAGTACGGATGCCCTCTGCGCAAGAGAGCCGGCAGGGGCGTAAACTTTTGGAGGTCCGCGCGGATCTCTGGGATCGGCGCTGGGACCCCCCCGGCGGCGGCCCTTGGCGCGCTCCGCGCGCCCATGGAGGGGGGGGGGGGCCAGCACCGACCAGAGCTCTTCCCTCCTGCTCCTTCTCCTCCCCACGCAACTCACGCGCGCGATTCTTTACCTGCGAATGCGCCGTTTGGGCGCCAGGCTTGACTGATGCCTCTAAGGTTTCGGGGCATCCTCAGAGAACTGCGACCTTGCGCTCGGGCGTCGGACTATCGAACTTGGTGTGGCGGGGCGTTCCGCAGCAGGCATCCCCATCAAAGAAAGAATATGTTCGGTAAGCTCCCGACTTGGACGTGCCTTCGAGAACTTGGCTCTCGGTGTTGGGCCACCATCGCAAGTGGAGGCGTCGTCAGCAAAGTCTACAGGCAGATTACTTGACTGAGTCTTGGGTTTACACTGGTCCTCCTCCTCCTCCTCCTCCTCCTCCTCCTCCTCCTCCTCCCCATCCTCCTCCTCCTCGTCCTCCTGCCGGGCCCGCGGGCCCCCCGAGCCTGCTCCCCGAGGTGTTCCGGGACGTGCCCCGGGACGTCTACGAGCACCACGTGATCGTCCGGCAGGTGCCCCAGATCGAGATCGTGGAGAAGCAGGTGGAGCGCCCCCAGTTCCGCGTCCACGAGAGCCTCGAGGAGGCCCGCCCCGCCTCGACTCCTCGAGCCTGGCCCCGGGGAGCGCTCGGAGAGGCGAGACGGCTGGGAAGATCGCTGCGGGACTCCTTCAGACTGCCCAGATCGCCCAGGGGGGAGAGGGAGGAAGAGGAGGCGGAGGAGAGAGGCGGAGAGACGGGAGGAAGAGGAGGCGGAGGAGAAGGAGGAGGGGGATGAGGAAGGGGGGAGGAGGGGGGGCGGAGGAGCAGGAGGAGCAGAAGTAGGGTGAGGAATATGCGACGATGCTGTTGATGTTGATATTGTTGATGATGATGATGATGATGATGATGATGATGATGATGATGATGATGATGATGATGATGATGATGATGATGATGATGATGATGATGATGATGATGCTGATGCTGATGCTGATGCTGATGCTGATACTGATGATGCTGATGATGCTGCTGCTGATTATGATGCCAAAAACGACGATTATGATGCTGTTGATGATGATGCTGTTGATGATGATGAGGATGATGCTGATGATGACGATGCTGATGCTGATGATGATGATGATGCTGATGATGATGATTATTCTGATGGTGATGATGATGCAGAAGGTGGTGGTGCTGATGCTGATGAGGAGGAGCAGGAGGAGGAGGAAAAGCAGGAGGAGGAGGAGGAGGAGGAGGCTTCCGAAGGGATTTCCTGATCGCGCCTTCGGGACCGCCTGGCCTTGGCGTCACCTTCCTGGCAAGTGGTCGTGCTCGAAACTTTGGGGGTGGGACTACGGAGCGCAGAATGTCGCACGTGGACGCCAGTGTGTCTTGGGTTGTAGTCTGGAGTTGCGACGGATTCACAGGCTCACTGCCTGAGCTGCCCCGTCTTCTGGCAAGCTGCACACCAAGCCTGGTTTCCTGAGCGCCCAATGCCATATATCATCTCGGCTCGCGTCTTGGCCTCGCAAGGAGCATCTCTGATGAGGATCGCGACTTGGCGTGTTATGGAGTGATCGCTTGCATACTTCGCGTGCAGTGCCCGCAGTCACTCTTCTCCAACGCCTCTGGATCTCTCTCTCTCTCTCTTTGTGTGCCCGACCTGCTCGGGCGCAGCTCTTGCCGCAGGCAGGCATTGGTGACTAGCGGACATCATTCCGAAGCTACGTGCGAGGAGAAGGAGGAGCAGGGGGAGGAGGAGGATGAGGAGGAGGAGGAGGAGGAGGAGGAGGCGGAGGAGGAGGAGGGGGAGGAGGAGGAGGAGGAGGAGGAGGAGGAGGAGGAGGAGGGCGGAGGAGGAGGAGGAGGAGGAGGGGAGGAGGAGGAGGAGGAGGAGGAAGAGGGAGGAGGAGGAGGAGGAGGAGGAGGAGTAGGAGGAGGAGGAGGAGGAGGAGGAGGAGAGGACGAGGGAGAGGTGGGCGACAGCGAGGACGAGGGCAAGGACTGAGGGGGGGAGGAGGAGGAGGAGGAGGAGGAGGAGAAGGAGGAGGAGAAGGAGGAGGAGGAGCACGAGTCCAACGTTGCAGCGGCAGCACCGTTTCGAGGCAGCGAGGACGTACACATTGAACCACAGGAAACACCAACTCATGAAACCCTGTGCACCACGTACGCGGAACGGTCGGGCCACTAAGCGTTCCATTTTCGGGGGAGAGCAGTTGTGGTGCACCTCCTGGGCCAGCCGCGAGGGCGCCAAGGTAGCCCCGCTCCGCGCGCCGCGGGCCGTGGCGGAGAGTTTTGGCCTTCGGCACGGCTGGCGGGGCGCGAGGGCGTCGCGCACCGCGGGGCGCGGCGCGCGGAAGCCTAGGTGGCCCTGGACCTCGGCCCCGGTGGTGGTGGCGTTGTGGATGGTGACGGCTGTGGCGACGCTGCTGTCGCTGAGGGCGCGGTAGTCACGGCGATGATGATGACAGCGATGGCAGTGATAGCGATGGCGGGTGACCAGCATGATCCGCGCGTAGCGGGGATGCGCGGAGCCGTTCTCCAGAGCGCCTGACAGCGATAGCGCCTGCATTCGAAAGGGCGATGGCGCGGCCAGGACCGCCCTCGCCACCCGTACCAGGGGGACCGCTGGGCGACGCAGTGATGGCGATGGCAGTGATGACGGCGATGACGGTGGTGTAGACGATGGCGGTGATCATGCTGACCATAACTGCGATGGTGATCCGGATGAATGGTGACCGTGACGACGGCGACGGTGACGAGGTGGGAGTTTAGTGGAGCTGGGGACGTTTCTCATGATGATGACGAGACTGGCGCTGGGGATGAGGATGATGATGATGATGATGATGATGATGATGATGATGATGATGATGATGATGATGATGATGATGATGACGATGGCGACGATGATGATGCTGATTATGCTGATGATGCTGATGCTGCTGATGATGATGATGCTGGTGATGATGATGCTGCTCATGGTGATGATGATGCTGAAGATACAGATGATGATGGGACTGCTGATCATGGTGATGGCACTGACGACGACGATGCTGATGCTGATTGTGATGGTGATGATGACGATGGTGATGATGCTGATGATGATGATGATGATGATACTGATGATGATACTGGTGATGCTGATGATGATCATGCGGATGATGCTGATGATCATTCTGAATATGATACTGATGATACTCATAGTGACGATGACGATGCTAGTGGTTTTGACGACAATGACGGCGATTATGTTGATGACCGTGACGATCAGTATGTTAATGGTAATGATGTTGCTGCTGATGATGACGACGACGTTGTTGAGGATTGTTGCTAGGAGTATGGTTATGGTACTACAGATGATGCTGGTGTTGTTGCGTTTGGTCATGATTATGCTGATGATGTTGATGCTGACGATGATGCTGCTGCTGTTGGTGATGATGGTGTTGATTGGGTTGAAGAAGATATTCCTGTTCATGAGGTACTGATGATGCTGCTGATGATGATGCTGCTGATGATGCTGATGATGATGCTCGAAATTGCGATGCGGTTGCTGTTGCTGCTGGTGATGATGGTGGTGAGGGTGGTGGTTATGATGATGCTGAGGCGAGTGATGACGCTGCTGTTGATGATGATGATGCTGATGATGATGATGATACTGATGATGATGGCACTGCTGATGATGCTGATGGTGATGATGACACTGATGATGATGATGCTGATTCTGAGGTTGATGGTGGTGGTGGTGATGATGCTGATGCTGCTGATGATGATGCTGAGGCTGCTGCTGCTGCTGATGCTGATGCTGGTGCTGCTTCTGCTGCTGGTGCGGTTGGTGATGATCATGATGATGCTGCTGATGATGAGGATGCTGCTGCTGCTGCTGCTGATGATGATGATGATGGTGGTGATGATGCTGCTGATGATGATGATGGTGATGCTGCTGATGCTGATTGTGATGCTGCTGCTGATGATGATTCTGATGATGCTGATGATGATGCTGCTGATGATGATGATGCTGCTGATGGGGCTGCTGCTGATGATGCCGCGGATGATGATGCTGCTGATGATGATGAGGGTGATGATGCTGCTGATGATGACGATGATGATGCTGATGATGATGATGAGGATTATGATGATGATGATGATGATGATGATGATGATGATGATGATGATGATGATGATGATGATGATGATGATGATGATGATGATGATGATGATGATGATGATGATGATGATGATGATGATGATGATTGAGATGATGATGGTGATGATGGCCTAGACCTCAGCCCCGCCCGCTGACGGGTACCCTGCAAGACGCCCTCTGCGAGGTCGTGGCAACCCTCGTGCACGAGAAGGTTGTCGAGGTGCCCACCATCCAGCAGGTCGAGGCCGTGAGGCAGACGCTCCAGCTGGAGTACCAGGAGGCCCCGAGGAGCCAAAAGAGGCGCACGTACGGCTGGCACCACGGTTTGCGTTAAGGGGGGATGAGCTTCCGGGGGGGGGGGACGAAGTTTCGAGGTTCGGGGTTTGAGGTCAGTATCGTTTAACCGACCCCCATCCCCATCCTCATCCCTTTCGAGACCCCCACCTAATTACCACCCCAGTTGGGGATACACCCCTCGAAACCCGGAGGGGACGGCTTATATCCCCATCTAGGGGGGTAAATCGGCCAGTGGGGCCCAGGCCACGCCGCTGGGGGTGGGGGTCGGATAAACGATGCTCATGAGGGTGTCGGACGTCTTCGCTGATTCTCGGCGGCTGTCCAGCCTCTGGGTGCTCTCCAGCAGCTGCGTCTCGCCGAGAGCCCTCCTGGGGTGCCCGGATCGTCCAGAACGGCCGTCGGAGAGCCGAAACCCACGGGGCAACGTTGGGGGGAGAGAGGAGGTAGGCTCAGAGAGGAATGCATCGACCCCCAGTGGCTCGGGGGCAGCGCTGTTGGGGGGGGGGGGCACGGTCAGGAGCGTTTGCTTAGCGTGTCGCGCCACTGGTTCTGGCCCCTCACGCGCTGGCGCGAGGCACTCACCACGTTTTCGTTTCCAAGCGTCGACGTCCCGAGCTCTCCCCATCCCCCCCGCGCCCCCCGCAGAGCGGAGGCGACACGCCATCCGCTCGCGAGGCATGGCGCGGCGCCAGGGCCACCGCCGCGACACGCCGAGCAAAAGTGCCCGACCGCCAGAGCGGTTCCCAGCTCCGGGGAGTGCCCTTCCGCTCTTCGCCCTCGGGCCCTCCGCCTCGGAGTGCTTTTTCGTCTTCGGCATCCCCACGCGGGCCTCGAGGAGGATCTGCGGCGAGGGGGCGCGTGCTCTCTTGATCAGGGCCGCCTGCACGGGGACTTTTCGACACGCTGGGGCTTCGGCGCGCCCGAGGAAGGCACAGCCGTGGGTCGAGCTCGTCTCCGTCAATCGTGTTCTCCAGGTGTAGGCGTTTAAAAGCCCCGGCTCGTCAGCGGTGTCCTGGTTGAGGGGGGGCCCCGACTCGACCCGCGCCTTTTTTTCTTGTTTGTTCGTCGCAGCGCGGCAGGGGCCGTCCGCACGCGCGTCTGCTGTGCGAGACACCTGGGCGCGGCCGTCGATCTGCGCCCCGCGGGGTGAGGAGGAGGAGGAGGAGGAGGAGGAGGAGGAGGAGGAGGAGGGAG